TTAGTTTCATGTTTGTACAATCATCAGGCTTTGAACGAGGTTTAGATATCTCAATATTGATTTGACAATTAATACATATAGATAAATCAAATAAATTGCACATGAAATAAAACAATGCTTTGATTACCGTTGTTTTATTGCTGTTTTCGTGAAGAGACTACTACAGGCAAATGAATGAATCAATATATAGGGTAGCTGACCATTCAATCATTTAATTGATTTGTAATCATATAGCGATAAAAAGTGAAAATCACATAGAACTACCCATAATGCACCAAACATAATCGTTTAGCGATCACAATTTTTGCAAATCACTGTGAATGGTATTAAAAAGAAAAAACTTACTTTGAGCTGGCATGGAGATTCTCTCCCAGTGGCCTGGAAATCAAAAACATACAAAGTTCAATAGGTTTGCGGTAATGRCACCATTTTYTAAAACAAAGCRTGACAGGAGATGTCGTCCTCGCGCCTCTTACGTCAATTGTTAGTTAAAAGGCTTTTTTTCTTGACATTTTTGCAGTGCACGGCAATTCAAATTTGCTTTAATTTCCAAGTTATTGAAAAACTTGGGACCAGCGATTGTCACGGAACTCACGCTAATTTGAAATATTTCACTTGCTCCATGTGGCCTTCCTTTCATGTATGACAAACTTGCTCTTTACAGTGTACTTAGATATCCTATAATTTAAGCTGGCTGCATTATCATTCAAAGCTATATTACATTTATTTATACCTCGAGATCCTGAAAGCTCACTAGTTTGACATCGCATCTTTCGGCCGCAGCTTTCTCTTCTTGTGTAACTGGATTTCCTATTTTAACAATTGTGTCCACAGTCATACATCTGTCCTTACAAGTAAGAATAATGGACACTTTTGGCTCGTGACAGACGACTGTTGAGAGCTGAGCTGAAAAAACGTAAAATTTTTCAATAATCAGAACGTTTTCTAACTGAACTTGTGCAAAAGAAAAGAAGAAACAAATGTGCTACAGCATTGTCATCTCTTGGCTTAGGGAAAAACTGTCATTTAATATATATGGCGATCCGCTGTTCTATGCATAAGAGGTTCACGGACATTACGAAAGAAAACAAATTTTGACGTCAATGACGCTATTTTTTCAAATAGTCTCCTTCACGGTTACCCGCGCCATCTTTAAAGGTAGCCGTGCCTTTGCATCAAAGCGAGACAACCGTTGAGCGTGCAATGATAGAAACCTTCTTTCACACCTACAGACAATTAATTTATTAGCTTTTCCCCTAGTATGGGCAGGGACACCGCAACAGCGTGAGCCAATTACTGCGGACCCTGTACTCTCACACTCACTACCTCTACATTAAGTATTTTAGCACACAACACTCCTCACATGTTGATTTTTGCTRAGGGAGGAAAAYCGGAGGACCCGGAGAAAAACCCTCGTGGCAAGGGAGAGAAGAACACATCAAAYAAACTCAAACTCACATATGGTCCGTGTCCGGGAATCGAACCCGGACCACAGCGGTGAGAGGCCAGTAGCTTAACCACTGGACCACCCGTGCCACCCAATTATTCACAGGTTTCTATCTTTGCACGCTCAACGGTTGTCTCGCTTGGATGCAAAGGCACGGCTACCTTTCAAGATGGCGAAGGTAACCGTGAAGAAGACTATTTTAACGAAAATATGTAATTTTATCCTTATTTATTTTTGTACATAGTCAAATATATTTTATGAATTTTTTAATTGAATATAAACTATAGTCCTAATTGTACATTGTAATTTATTAGTCCTTGATTGGATAGACATATTTTAATAAAATCTTTTGTTCATTGATAAAATTTTTTTAAAAATCATAACTTTTGACCTGACCACTTAGGGACTCACGTGGTGCATCTTCCTTAGTAAAGGGARACTCTCTACTGACTATGGGCTCGTATATCTCTAATTTTAAAAGGTTCCAGTAAAATTCAACAAAGCGTGAACTTTTCGTTGATCACGAAAACACCAATATACTATAAAATAAAAGTCTCGAAAGCTCACGAAAGCTGTCGATCCCCAAATAGTTTCCRAGGTTGTACCCCTCATAATCATGAGGCGGTTCGAAAATCTGGTATGTATTGTTATTTTAAAGAAAATCGACATTTTCTTTTTCGATGAGATACGGCGSCGAACAATGACCACAGTCTCAAAAGAGTCATAGATTGAAGKAAAATTCACTGTGTTGTGCTATTTAATTGAGAGAGGAAGGATATGTGGGAGGGGAGGGTAAAGCGTACTTACCTTCGTTTATGATATGTACACAGGCGTCGAGCCCGTGAGTGTCGTAAAGCGGCACGGTTACCATGGAGAACATTTGACAACCGATGTCTGTCAAGAACCACTTAAAGGAAATAAATGTGATGACGTCATAATTTTAAACARTAAAAGCTGTAAATATTGCCTGATGGTCGTTCGTCGTGGGTGAATGTCGTCCTTAAAGGACGGGAGTAACCACAAAAAGAAGAAAACTTTACACAAAACAATTTTCAAAATCAACACACCTCTACACAATTTGGACCAAATATCCCTATCAGACTYGACGGCTTGCAACCAGTATTAACCAATCCACAGCCCACGTGATAAGCTCTGGCATGAACCTAAAACAGAGATAGGTGCACTTCCTGTTAGAGATTTTGCGAACATCCTGTGCAATGTCAGAGACATCAAAGATTACCTCATTATAGGTGAGCCAGACGTATTTATTTGATGGMGGCTTTCGTGTCCCTAAGCAAGGCCTGTYACCTGAGCAAATATGGTTATGAATGGATTGGGAATGAATATCTATTATATGCCTCTATTTGACTGCAAAGAGGGTTGCACTTGTTATGTGACACTTAAAGTTAGCTAAAGTGAAAAGATTTTAAGGTAAGTTTGATGGAAGCAATTCGTCCCTATGGTTACCTGAGAGTTTGACACCCCGCATGAAAGCATCATAGATTGTATCTACGTTGTCATGGAGACGGGTCACAACTTGATCCGTCAGGGTACATCGCCTTGCTCCACCGGTCCCCTGCAGGCAAGATTGTTTTTGGATAAGATAACTACTYCTGCAGGGTTTTTGACCAGAAACCAAAACCCGACGAGGCATATACAGTATTTCACTTGTATATATATTGGGTAAATCTGGATTTGCCCCTTGCGATGAAAGGAATGATTGCCGGGTTAATTTGTAAAATTTTCGAGTGTATTCTGGGTACAGAAAATCCATATAAGGTCATTTTACATGCAGACTGTCAGAGTCACGGTAAAAATAGAGAATGTTTCAATCAAATTGGTCTGTTCAGAGTCAGTACGGGTAGAGGGTTGACAGATCGCAGATCGTGGAAATGGTTGTAATTGGTTCAAAACCTAGCCAACTTAAAACCAGTTTGACTAAAATCGRTCTTATATCGCACCTTTTCAATAATGCTTATATTATGTTAACGGTTACCATCAATCTTGTAAATATTACTCTTCAACTGAAGAGTTTTAATTTCTTTTAAGMTTTGGCTTTGATTTTCCTGAAAGAACACACAATATTTTCCCTACTTCACAGAGTCAGGTTTTGCTGTCAGTTATTCCCGTCGTGGGTTATGCTAACAACTTGATATCTTCGTGCTGATTGTCTAGTTGCATTTTCCTCGCCTAGATTMTCAATTCTTGGTTTTCACTGATCACTTGATAGTCTAAAAAGGCTATTTAGAGGCCAAAATTGTTCATTATTGTCCTGTACTATTGTCCTATACTATTGACTGGTCAAGAAATACCTACAAAAACTTGAAAATGAATTTTTTTAGTCCAAGACATCAAAAGCATATAATACCCAACAGTTGTATAGTTTGAAGTTAAACAGTGATTTTGTGGCAAAAATATATAAGCGTTTTGAATACGGTCTTAATTTACAAAGAAATGTATGGGAAAACTGTCTATAGCGGTCTTGCACTAATCTTGTACACCATCATGGTGGAGAGTATCTCTGAGTGTCGATTTGACAGTAATAAAGTAATGATTTTGCTTTGCCTTTTTTTACAACAATATCATTGTAAACATTTCATTTAATGCTGAGACTATAAAGAGAGACAATGTTATAAGATTAATAGGCTTCTCGATGTTTTTTGTCTTGTTTCAAGTCGTGTCAACGTTAAAAAACTCCAMGAATAACTAACGAACTTCTATCATACTCTTCAAGGTATTTTAGTGCTGCAATGTTGTGTGTCTGTGATTTTAGAATATTTTTCGACTGATGACGTCATGTGAAAACAAAAGGGGGGTTATTTGACTGAAGAGATTTACCCAGCTGTATTGTTTTATTTCCAGCACTAATGAAAAGGAACCAATTAARAAAGACCATCATACGCTAAAATATTGCCATAATTATTAGTGGTGTGAGGCAATGATCTTTCATTATCTACGAACATCGTGCAAAAGAACAAAAGAACATGTTTTTCATATTTTTTAGTCCTTTTAATAAAAAACAAAGCTGGCAATGTTTTATTGTTCTGTTTAATTTAATGTTTTAATTTTTYCCCGAAATTAATATTTGCTCTTTTCATGCATKAAAGCAAAACAATTRGGGGTGAGAAATTGGTATTTATTTGTCCAAAACCACGGTAGAAGAATATAAGCATTCACAACATCTTCATTATTTCGTCAATTCGTATCAGTAATTAAAAGTTTAAAAAGAACACTGTTAAAAAATCATTTTCAGTTTCTTTTCTATTTTTATTGCTAAATGGATACATAAACGATCTGAAATATTATTTTCCGTGAGTCCCAGTCAAAGTACCGTCTTAGACAATTTTATGACTCTGAAAACGATGTACGTGACCAATAGATATCGTGATGAAGCATGAATAAAAATGATGCTGTTTAAATGTAGGTATAAATATCAAGATAGCTACAAAATAACGACGTACCTCAACCTCAATGGACTGTTTATCTAAGTTGTGACCACACACTGAAGCAACGGTCTCAGCACTCAAATGATCTTTTTTTCTAGACATCAAATAGATGATTATTCCAACTACTAAGAAAGTCGTTAATAGGACGAATAGGTTGAATTCGAGGAAAAATGATGGGCTATCGATAGACTCCATTTGTTGTCTGATTAAGAGGAGTGTTTGCAAGTGCTTACGACGAATAAATTACCTAAAGTCATTGAAAGTATTCTTTAGTCCCAGTCCCAGACCCAGGGGAAGAAGACCTCACATGCGCATGATCGACATCATCTAATTATAAGTAATACCACGGCACTGAGTGATATTAGGGATTAAATGTCCCCTCAGCCTCGGAGAGGTCCCGAGGACCCCGAGGAAATAACCAAAAGCATATTGACAATTTAATTTTAAACCGGAATAAATTACGTTTTTTAACAATGACCTGGACTTGACTAATAATCACTCTTGGGAAATTGAATGAATTTGTTTTTCTAACAAAACACAAAACATTTTGGTATTTTACATATAACAACATTTTAAGTATATTTGGCTATTCAATCTCTCGTAGGAATACATTCCTGTTAACACATAAAACATATAAATTCAGGAATGACTTTTTGCAATACGCCAGGTTGATTGGAAATGGAAGGAAGTCGTTTCAGTTTTGTTAAAGACGCTGAAGTCGACAACATGCAAGGAGATTCAAATTTAGCATTAAAACATTACTTTTAGCAAGTAACATTTAAATTTTATACAGTATATACCATGACAAAGTTAATAAATAGTGAAGGAATAAAAGATTTCAGGAATAATATAAAGCTTTTTTGGTTGATGCTGCCAATTGAAATGCGCATGCGTAAAGATTGACATCCACTTACTTTGAAAAAATGAACTTCAGTTTTAAAAATAATATCAATATGATTAGTTAAAATAAATTAGTCAGTTGTTACGCATGTGTAAATTATTTTTGGGTATGACTGACTGTTTATAGGCTCTGATGGTTTCCCACATTTGAGAGCCACCAGAGAAG